GCTCTGTGTGTGTGTGTGTGTGTGTGTGTGTGTGTGTGTGTGTGTGTGTGTGTGTGTGTGTGTATCTGTGTCTGTGTGTGTGTGTGTGTGTGCACGCATGTGTCTGTGAGTGTGTGAGTCACATTATGAATCTCTACAACGGCTCGTACCTTTGGTTTGTCTCCCAGGATTTGCTGTCGAATGTCTTTATGTTTTTCCAGCAATCTCTCCAGTCGTTTGTCCTGAGCTTCTTCCAGCTGGAAAACACACAAACACGCACACGCTCACAGACGTGTTCCAGTACACGCAATCTACACGTGACAGCAGAGCGATGAACATGTCGGCAAAATACTGCCACGCGGGATGTTCATGAACATAGAAACACAGAACTAACCCTCAAATAACCGATAACTAACCCTCAAACACCCAACATCTGACTGATCGATCGCTGATCCAACGGTTTCTCCCAGAGATCTGGATCAGAGCTTCTCAACAGCAGACAGACCTCAACACACTAATAACATTATTTGTCATACAAAAGCAGCAAAAATATACTTACAATAAAATATTAAGCAGGATCACAGTCCTGCTGTTGTTCTGAATATAATCACAGCTGTGATTGGCTGCAGCTGATCACATGACTGATGTTCTGTCTGTGAACACCACATTGATTAAATACAGCTGCTCAATACACTACAAGTGCACACTATAATTCACACACTATCTTCCAGTCTGTCCAATACTCAATAAGACACGATTCACTGCTTCATAAAGACAGTCATTTGCTGACACCTACAGGTGTAATGATGCAACTGCAGGATCAGTCACAGTAAAATACACAGTTAATGAAATAAAATAATCCTCATCCTGGCAGCCAGTAATTCACAGCACAAAACACACGGCGTTCGGTACAAACCATGTTTTCTCTTTAATAAACTGAAGTCTATTTACTGTCCAAACTATTCATGATTAGTTGCATTATATTATTTGCATTTAGCCTGTTTTATTTTTCTGTAGACAATCTGGCCAGAAGAGTTGAGTCATACAAGTCCACTTCAGAATTAGAGGAGAAACCCATGTTGCTTGCAAAAACGCTAATTTTGTCAGAATTTATGGCTACTTTTGAAAAAAAGACGTAGAGTGACTGAGTAATTAAAGCAGTTACCAGCAGGGGTTAACTAGTCCATGGTAAGCAGTATCCACTCACCCAGGGGCGTAGATTACACGGGGGACGCGGTGCCCGCACTTTTTCGGGCAAGTGTGTTCGCATAGAGGACACATCAAGAGCCGGTGTGAATAAATATAGATTTAAATTCAAAGAGACAGGATAGTCTGTGCATGATCTGATGTTTTATTCGGACCCAGAATAAGGCGAGAGAAACATCTTGGAGCGCTAAACACTCGTGCAGTGTGTGTTTCATTCATACTCGAAGCCGGAGGCGCTCTCGTGCAGAAAGTCGTACGAGGAAATTCCTAATATGGACAAAAGCATCCAGCTATCGCTGTATGAAAACAGGTGTTTTCACAGAAAAACAGACACGTTTGGAAACATGAAGACATTAAGCATACGATTGCGACAATATATGGTTTATTTGTGTTTGTCAAGTCATCTCCAGGTAATAAA